GGGGGGGGGGTGAGGGGGGAGGTGGGGAGCCGCATTACGCAAGAGATTCTCATACAAGGAACGAGTTTCCGGGGGCGAGATTTTCGCTTTCATGCAGGTGTTTGAGAGCGACGTCGAGATAGTACGCCGATAGACGGAACGCAGACATGGAGGAGACGAGGGGCACCTGAGATGTAACGAGGAGAATGATCTTCCGCTAGCACTAGGCACCAAACATTCAACCATTATTGGCCTGATCTAAACACGCGTCGGGCAGACAACAAACCCGGTTTCTCAGTCATCAATGCGCTTATCTGAATAACTCTCGAGGACACAAAAGCAGTATCGAGTGGAACCGTTTTGGCCACTGCCATAGCCTGCTGTGCAAAACAATCTAATTCACCTGTGCCTAAGACTTGACGAGAAAACGAGTTCCTTTCACCAGACAATGTCTCTCGAGATCACTTAGCCTTGAATGGCAAGGCGCCAATTATCCAGTGTCAGAAACACGCTATGAACATACCCTTCAACCTCAAAATGACTAAAAACTGAGCCGCGGAAAGCGGCAATGACTTTTGATTTCTTTTCGACGAAGGCTGTGAACAAGAGAGGGGAGCTGCCAGCCAAGTATGAATGACACAGAGAGAATCGACGCCATATAATCCAAGTGTGCTGTTGCCTCTTTCAAGCCAATTTCCCCTATCCCAAGCGAGATAACCAGGCGTGTGATTGGCTGCCATTCGGATACGCGAGGAAATTGAGGGTCGTGTGGCACGCTACCGTATCCGGAGGCAACGAGTTGATCCCAGCCGCATCAACCCATCCTATTAGAACATTTTGGCTAATCCAAAATAGGCTATCAAATTGTTGCCATTGTCATTCTAGCAAACTATGACTGTGGTGCGAGGGTTGTGTGACAATATATACAAATACACGAGCCAGCCTCGGCCGAAGGCTTAACTTCAGCGTCAAATAGTGGAATAGCTCTTCGGGATCGGCGAACGTGCCGAGTCTCGTCGCATTGCTCTCTGCGATCCGTGTGCTATGTGCATCAATTGCATGTCTGTCGCCTCAGCGATCCTGCAATGTCTCGACAGCACTCTCGCCTCACATAAGCTTATCCATCTCAAAGCACAACAGACAGCCGCTCACAACTTGCCGAGATTACGGTAGACTAACAAGATTATCGTAATCCGCTCCAGTGAGGATATGCGTCTGTAAGTATTTGCCGTCCGGATCTATACGTTCGCAACGACGTTAAACGGTAATCGAATACCGACCTTCGTCGTTCATCGCCTTGGTCGAGCGTCTCTAGCCACTCGTTGATTGAGTTTATCTGTTCATGATTGAGAATGGCCGGATCGTCACCGGCGATTACTTGGCTGATAAGCTCCTAGAAAGCAAACAGTCTCTTCAGACACAAAAATAAAAGAAGCTCGCAGTGTTTTATAACTAACCTTTATCTGTTGGTTATCCACGCTGTTGAGAATTTGTGGATTTTTCGATACTGCTGTTTTTAACAACCGTTGTTTGAGATCGGTTATACACTGCGTACTTGCAGAGTCTGAAGTACTGCTGAAAAAAGTTGGACATTTTCGGTGCAAAAATGCTTCGTCACATCCAAAAAAGTGACTTGTTTGTCACTGAGCAATTTTGACAGTCCAATAATTTGTTTTTCCGTATTTTGTTGGCTTTCCTCGTTATCATCATGTAATAAAAGCTGTCGGCGTATTCTGCGCTACATATTCGTCCGCGAGATAGAAGGATCGTAAATAATTACGTATTCAAATTCCGTATTCCCGCCGCAGAAAATCCGCAAAATGCATGAAATGAAACCGACAATATAATATAATCTATCGATTGTTGTCAGCTAAACTTAGGCTAGAGCCGAGTATAAACCGTAGGCCGTCATCCTTCACCAAAAATTTAGTTTTCCTTTTGCATCAAAGGCGGATAAGTTGCAGTAACCAGGTTTAGGTGAGGAATTCGAATAGAACGGAAGTAGGAGGTGACGGATATCCTAAAGGAGTAAAGTAGTGCGGGTTGGATGTGTTCGGTGGAACAGATCGCAAACATGAGCGGGTGTACTGTTTGAGAAGTGGCGTTTGGCGTATTCATGAGCAAGGAGCTCGAGCCGAGACTTGAAATACAAAAGCGCCAGGTATGGCGCTGCCTCAGCGAGTGCGCGTAAACACAAAAGGAGACACGGACGGATCGGATTGCGCGACACTGCCGCCAATCTGTCGCCACACGTGTTCGTTCGGCAAGCGCTAATAACGTGAAAAGCATCGATTCGACTATTGAAACACTGTTACATTTTACACTTCCCTAGAGTGTTCAGAGTGAAAGAACTGACGGTTTTGTTAGAATTCGTAACGTAATATGACCGGAAATGTCTTTGAATAGTGAGTGTACGGTCTCGTCGGGATTATCGGTGATTTGTTCGAATGGAAGTGCTTTCCAGTTGTTCACCTGCACCAGACCTGAAAAAAATCAAACCAATATGTTGCAGAATAATATAGTAAATCTGTTGATGATTTCCCAATTATCTAGTAGTTGTGATATTTTTATTTTCGTCCATGTACTTGAACATTTCTGTTGTCAACGTACGTCTGAATGGTAGGTGTTTTTAGTTACTCGATGCCTCTTCTATCAATTAGAAGCGATTGTGGATCAGTTAATGTGAGTGCGAAGAGATTTCCCAGAGAGTGCACGAGTTACACTTTCAAATAGGAAACTATCACTTCATACAGTATACCGCACTAGACAATTTTCGAGTAGAAAGTGTTTTACTGTCTTTCCAATTATATATGTATATATATGCATACATATATGTGTATATATATGTATATGTATATACATATGCATACACATATATGACATCTACGTGAACGTGTTTAATGTAAATATACATACATAATTGTGTGTGTATGTGTATGTGTATATATCACAGTGGAATGTGTTAGAAAAAAGAATGGGTGTGGCTTCCCTCTCTTGTTGTTAAGCGAATAATCTCGGTAACAGGTCCGAGTATGTAACGCGGGCAAAGAAAACGGCATGCGCGATCGCATCTCGCTAGATTTTACAACGATTGCGCAACTGAAAGGGAAAGGCTCAAGCCATAACAGGTTCTCCCCTACCCGAAGGAGTCGATGGCATCGAGGAGAAAATGCGCTCATGCACTCTCACATGCTGAATTAGCACCACGGCGACACACGTGCTTCGTCTACGGCAATATCTTCATCTGAGCTCTACACTGACGTGATCAAAGCCAAAGCGATAAGCACATAACTAAAAAACATGGAAGATGCAGAATCTAAAGCGGAAATCAATTCACGCAGCTTTCAATTGTGTTAGTCTAGGGTTTCGTTGCAATAATCATTGCCGCGTCTATTGACACGTGCTGTTCTGTTGAGACGGACAGTGGGACAAGGAACGATGAGAAGACAGAGAACTTGGAACACGAATACGAGGAGCAAGAAGATTTCGACGGGTGTGCCATCTGGACGAAGTGTCAAAAATAGGCGACATAGATACACTGACACGAACAATAACACGCACACCACATGACGATGCGCGAAAGACGTGAGCCACACAGCCGCCTTTCTCCGCCTAACTAAATATGATGGAATCGGGAGGACCCATAGCAAATTCTAATCAACCACTAATACAGTAGTGAAATTGCGAAAAAAAGTCAAAGTCAACGGTGTCTTCAAATTGATACTCATGAAAACAAAAGAGGATATTTTACCTAACAGCATATAAACGATATATTGTGAAGAAAATACATCACTTTCAACAGCTAAAAAACGAAACATTGTAAAGCGATTAAAAGTGAACATATCAGGATACCTCGAGCGTTCAGTGCTAGTTGAGGATGTCCAAGAGCCGAGAGGACCGTTTCGACTAACTGACTTAAAATAGTTGTGCCAGATACAATGGCGTAGGTGTCAACCAGTATGTGACCGTCGTGAGCGCATGAAAGACAATGCTGCGCTCGAACTGTTTCCACCGCCACCCGTACGGGGAACATCTGTAACGGCATTCTGGCTTCAAAAAAGATGTGTATGACATCGAAAAATATGAAAACGAATTAGTCGTGAGAACAATAAGGGCAGGTTTTGAAATTTTAGCACGAAAATGCCATGACATAAGGGGCAAGCACGAGACACGCTTGTCGGCGTTCGATCAAGAGATAAGGAAGTCTCTTAAGCCAAACGAATAGAGTGCGTTGAAGAAACACAACATCCAAATAAAACAATAGTATTAACTGGAAAAAAGTGTTCAAAAATGTGCTAATAACACCAGAATCACTGCCCTGAGAATAACAGCTCTAGCAAGTGCATTGAGATTAAGATAAGGCATATTAGCTGAACCATGCAGTTTAATATTCGGTTTCCAAGATGAAATAAACGTCAAAACGAGGTAAACGTTTTGGGTTACTGTACTGACGGAAAAGGTTAGACGGGCTGGATCTTGGCAACCGACTGGCGCGGACCGGAGCGATTAGCCTAGCCTGACCCCGCCCCCAGTCGTCCCCGCCCTCGAAAAAGCCAATCTCGACACAGCACAACTCGAGATACGATTATCGTATGCCGAAACTAGCCCAACTTTAGCGTCTCACTAAGGGTTAAAAGTCGTTAAGCTGGGCACTTTAGTATTCTACACACATCTATGACGTCCCCAAAATTAAAGACAGCGCAAGGAGTGCTTCATGAAGCCTTCAAATGAATTGTTGCGTAGGATGTCTACGTCGTTGGATCTCACATCAAAACCTAAAATAACCCGTTAAATCCCGCTTACCGCTAGACGTTGCTTTTGAATAAATCCACACCCGTTCCAGATGAAGTATAGTTAACGCAATAAGGATAACATAGAACATAAGTTAGCGATTTCACGATTGAGGTATACATTGGTAAACGGACGCTAGTGCGATTGAGAGAACGGTCGGGATCGGTCGGCGAGGAGCGAATCTGCGCGGCAAAACGCAACGGGTTTCAGTGCCCGTGTTTTTGCTTAAGTTCAAGACGGGACGACGCGCGACACTGCGCAGATAGAAGTGATGCCACCCATCACACCGAACGTGATTATACCCGAGCTCTAAGAAAGTTGGGGTAATGGGAAAAAGTAAGTAGAAGCTATAGGACAGGAAGGATACAATCATCTGTGTATTCACTGATCGATAGAGTTGATACATCCCAGATAAGATAAGATAATACATGGCATTGAATTTGATGCTGCATTGCATCGCACCACATGTTATTTTATGTAATATTGTTCTAGCATTGAGGAATTTTTATATATTCTGAAACCAACAAGATCCACTAGGGAGCACTAGTTTTCTTGGCGGAGCTCTTGTTGTATATTGCAGCGCTACGAATCTAAGCTGCTAATCGAGATTGTTAATTGGATGGATTTAGCTGGTGTCATCTAAGCCAGCCAATGCAGCACACTCTTCCCAAAATCGGGAGAAGGATTACGAGACGACAATGAGTTGCCTTAAGACGGATAAAGTACTGCAACTACGTGCAATCTGCGGACTATGAAGAACCTTCCAAGTGTAGTGAGTGAGTATTCAGGGCTTCATATGACTAGTATTCTACAATATCATAGCTCTAAAATTGTGCAATGACTGGATAATCGTAGTGTATCAGAGTGCGTTTTCTCAAATTTCGCCCTGTGCGATGGTGGTGTTCGGCTTATCGGATACTCATTGATTTTGACCACGGCAGACTGTCGAAAATTGAATGTTCTTCCCAACCAACGAAACTACTACTTTAATGTATGATAGTAATTGATAACTAGATTATATAGCTTTCAAGCAATAATGATGAAAACAGCAATAGAATTACACGACTGTATAATGAACTGTGAGAGACACGAGAACACTTAGTGAAGATAATTGCAAGCGAAAATGATTTACATTACCGTGGCGTTGTAGAGGATTTGAGTGGGTTTCGATAAGAGTTAGATGCTTTCGTAATCAGAAAATGTGTCGTGAAACAGTGTATGGGGATCGAATATGATAGCGTATGATAGACTAAGGCATGTGCTATCTTGCGTTATCTTTGGGTCAGGCCGCCAAATCGGATCCCCGGTTAATAAACTAGGGAACAAACAGCGGTGCTTGATAAAGCGGTGGATTGATACTAGGAGAGTCGAATCAGATCAATAGCCGACAATATCAAACATGGAATTATATGAAATAAGATCCAGAGAACGTCGTATTGATTGGGTTTCGGATTAGTCTGCTTACTAAGAGTTCATCAATATAGCCGAGATGCTTTCTCGAATCGCTTATGTATTAGGAATGTTCTGGAATAGACTTGCGAATTGATTTTTATTTCAATAGGATTTGAAAGAAGCGGCATTTACCTTCTGAACGCGAGTTTATTTAAGTGACTATAAAGCATAATCATGGAAAAGTCCTTCAACATTGCTTTTGTCTTCAATCAAGTCGATTTTAAAGTTAACCAATCTTTTAAACCTACTTTTTTTGTCTAATGTAGGAATCGTCATTTCAAATTAAATGCATGGACCTCGTCAACAGATCGAACAAATTTACACAATCGATGACGACTTCTTGTTCCCACCATTCAGCTCCCAATCGAATCCTTGAAGAATTAAATTGGGGGCAAACGGTTGAACAGGGAATGATACTCATTAGCACAAAGAGTGAAAATTCGGCACTGTGCGTGGATCGATTTTCGCTTCACATTCAGTAGCTTCATGCAACGCGAATCGTCATCCGGAAACAGTCACGCTTGTACACACTATGAATGTCGTGTTTAAAAAACCCTTATTGAAAATCTTCATAGAGCTCGTGCCTCTAAAGATGCTACAATCGAAGACGAGGTGAAAGTGGTAAAAGAAATGAGTAGATTGCAGAGTGCACAAACTCACAACTCTCGATGCCCTTCAATCAAACTCAGAACGTTTTCTAACGACTTTTATTGGTCCCCGGAACGAGTTTGCGCGTTAGACAGGGAGCGAAATTTTCCCCGCGATCGACATCATTTTCTGCCAGCCGAGATTGCGTAACCTGCTGCTGGAGTGTGCCTGAGGTGGTGAAGGACAAGCCTTCAGATAGGGATGCCAACAAATAAACAAACACACAAATACATACACACATGCGTACGTTCACGCAAACATACACACATATATATACATGCATACATACACACATGTATGCATACACACATACATACATACACACATACATGCATACATATATACATGCATACATACATACATACATACATACATACATACATACATACATACATACATACGTACATACATGCGCACATTCATACATACTTAGGCACATATATATACATATATATACGTACGTAGGTACATACATACATACATGCATACATACATGTATACAAAAATAGATACATACATACTTACATACATACGTACCTACATACACACATATATGCATACACACATACATGCATACACAAATACATGCATACATATACAGATGCATACATACATACATACATACATACATGCATACGTACATATATATACATACATATATACGTACATACATACCTACATACATATATACGCATACATACATACATGCATACATATATATATAAGCATACATATAAACGTACATACATACACACATACATAGATACACACATACATACACACGTACATACATACGTACATATATATACATGCATACATACGTACATACATACCTACATACATACACACATATATACACACATACATACATACATGCATACATACCTACATAGATATATACACACATACATACATACATACCTACATACATAGATACACACATACATACATACATACATATATACATGCATACATACATATACACATAGATGCATACGTACATACATACATACAGACATACATATATTCATACATATATACATACATACGTACTTACCCTACATACATACATACATACATACATACATACATACATACATACATAGATACATACAGACATACATATATTCATACATATATACATACAAACGTACATACCTACATACATACCTACATACATACACACATACATAGATACACACATACACACATGCATGCATACTTACATATATACATACATACATACATACATACATACGTACATACGTACATATACACATGGATACATAGGTACATACATACATGAATAGACACACACATGCATACACACACATTACATATGTACATACCTACATACATGCATACATACATACATACATACATACTTGCATACATACATACACACATGTATACATATATACGTAGTTTACGTAAATACACAAACACATGCAAACTCGTGTGGTGTTTGTAGGAATAAATTGATGTTTCAGATGGCAAAAAGGAAGCGACGACTATCTGAAACAGATAAGTCACTGAGATAGGGGGTTTAAGAAAAGTTTTTAATCACCATGAGATGCTATGTGAACTCTTCTATGGCCTTCGATCCGCTAGTTCTGAAAACCTATTGACAAGATGAATATATTAGCCAAGCTGTGGTTCACTTTCTATGGGAAGATTCCATCTAAATCGTGAAGCGTTCTAATCGTCGAAAAAAACGATTGAATCGCATGATTTCGCGCTCTTATTACAGTTAAACGTTGGCATAGATAAATGCAACCGCAAAAAGAAGAAAGGCGAAAGGGTGAAAAAAAGTGGCGGAATAGTCCAGATTTTGCTCTTCTCATTGGCTCATCGCCTATGACACCGCTTTGTAATTTAGCGTAACTATTGTCGTTTTTTTTTTTTCGAACAAGGAAGACCAGAAAGGACTAATTTAACGGAAACATGTTTCCTCCTTGTCTGTTTTGTCATCGTTAATCGACGAAAACATTCATCCAAATATGGTAGGTTTCTGTTGATGCTTATGTAGGCCTACCTGAAGTTCCGATTCTGTTTTTGTCTCCATAGTTTATTCTCCATTGAATCACTCTCTTCACATTGTTAACATCTCATGTGGGCACGTGTGCGTGTATGTGTTGAGATGCCGTTTTTTTC